GGAGAAGCACACGTACTCCCCCGCCTCCTGGGTGGTGCAGACACTGAGCAGGCTGTGTCCCAGCCCTCAGTGGACCTGGGACCAGGTTTGTGTCAACCTCCAGAGTTGGAGGCAGCACGGTGCTAGCTGCGGGGTGGACTTCCACAAGGAAAGGCTAAACGGGTGGAGATGAGACAGCAGTCTGCTCAAGTAGCGAGGACAAGGACAGAGGGGTGGGCGAGGAACTCCTGCAAGGGTAACAGAGGCCAGAGGTCCAAAGTCAGGGGGAAGAACAGATACTTGACTGACAGCTCAAGTGACCAGTGCCAGGCAGGGGGAAGCCGGTGGCACCCGCGGGCCGGGCCTCCAGGGGCACAGAGACGGCAGGGACAGGCGGAGTGCCACGGACCAGCCCCAATGTCCTGTCACACCAGAAAGCAAGCAAGGGGTCAACACAAGCACAAGACGACCAGCCAGGCGCAAGCCACGCTGCTCAGGAGGCTAGATCCGAGAATTCAAGTTTGAAGCCAGCCTGGGCAGCAAAGTCCTTAAGAAATGCAGCCTGCGAGGTGCTGGCACACAAGGCCTGGCTCCCGTGATAGAGCACCAACCGTGAAAGAAAAAGACAATTGAGTGTGTGAGGCCCCGAGATCAAGCCCCAGGACGGACCAGGACCAGGACGGACGTGAGGAGTAAGGAAATAAACAAAAATAAAACTAGCCGCAGGGCACAGGCCCAGCCCGGTGGAATCAAGGGGGGGCCTGAGGAGGGAGAGGGAGGGGGGAGGGAGGGCGAGGGGGCTGGCCTGCGGGAGGGGGCACTGGGAGCAGGAGCAGGTATGGATGAAGGATGCGGGGCTTCCACGTACCTGGTGGCGCTGGGATTTGCCTCAGGGTCTCACACTTACTAGGCAGGTGTTCTGCGCCCCATACCATGCCCTCAGCCCTATTTTTTTTTTATTAGTTGTGGGGTTTGAACTCTGGCGCTACCCCTCAGCTCTTCAGCTCAAAGCAAACACTCTACCGCTTGAGTCACAGTGCCACTTCTGGTTTTCTGGTGGTTTATTGGAGATAAGAGTCTCTTGGAGTTTCCTGCCTGGGCTGGCTTTGAACCGTGATCCTCAGATCTCAGCCTCCTGAGTAGCTAGGATGACAGGCGTGAGCCATTGACGCCCGGCTAGCCCTATTTTTTTTCCCTCTTTTTATTTTTCAGCTAGAGCCTCAATGCTTTCTGGGAGTGTCTGTGGAGATGAAAGTCTCGTCCACTTTCGCTCGGGTTGGTCTTGAGCTGAGCTCCGATTTCCACCTTCCAAGGAGCTGTGAGCTGCCACGCCCAGCTCCGGCCATTTTTCCTGGTCTACCTGCTCCACCCCACAGCGGCCCTGGCCTCTGCCTGCGCCCCTCCAAGGCTAGCTTGAGGTCGCCTCTTCCTTCTCCAGCTTGAGTGGCCCTGTGCTCCCCTCACTCTGTAGGGGATACCCAGGAGGCCCTTCCAAGGTCAGGGAGGGCTCAGGGATGCCACACAGGGGCCCAGTCGGGCCCGGCTGTCTGACCCTTGCCCTCTGACCCTTGCCACAACAGCTTGAGCTCTGAAGTCCCAGCCTCCCCTCAGGCCTGGGCTGCTCCGTGCCCGTGGCCCATCTGTATCCAGGACCTTCTGAACAGAGTCTCCCAGGTATCTGCTAAGTTCCTGCCTGGACCACACCGGTCCACCCTGCCTCCACCCCCCCCCCATGGCCAGACCTGTCCACTCTGAGGTCTCTCCCCACATGTCTGCCTTCTGACCAGCGGACATCCCTCCCACTCCCTTCTCCGTGTCCCCTGGGCACGTGCCCGGGCTGGCCGCACCCCCAGCTCACGCATGGCCAGTGTAGAGGGAGGAGCACAGGCCTCCCAGGAGCCCCACAGCCTTGCTAGCCATGGTGGGGCCCGCTGGTGCCCCAGGCCCCCCCCCAGGACTGACCAGACAGAAGCCCCTGAGGAGGGGTCCTAACCCTCCCCACCCACTCAGCTTCTGCCTCATGCCTGCATGCCCCAACGTCTTCCTCTGGCCCCCCGTTCTGTGGGACCCCTTCTGTGTCACCTACTGGTTCTATCCCTGCAGATGGAGTTCTCTGGGTCTGGGTCTGGGCCTGGCTCTGGGGCTCTTCTGCACCCCCAAGGCCTGTGCCCTATTCACTGGAAACAGGAATGGGGTCATGGGACAAGTCTGGGACAGCCCCTCCCCACGCCCTGGCCCAGAGTGGGGTGCAGTGAGGCCTGGCCTTAGGCCTGGTCACAGCAGTCTCCCCTCCCCCCAGCTGACCGGCTCTCCCCGAGAGCGACACAGGCCGAGGTACCGAGGAGGTTGGCTCTCTGTGGCTGGTGGTTGGTGCTGTCTTCTCCCTGACCTTATCTCCTCCTCCCTAGACTAACAAGATTAGAGCAAGCCGGGTGCCAGTGGCTCACACCTGTTATCCTAGCCACTCAGGAGGCTGAAATCTGAGGACCATGGTTCAAAGCCAGCCCGGGCAGGAAACTCCATGAGACACTTATCTCCAATAAACCACTAGAAAACCAGAAGTGGCGCTGTGGCTCAAGCGGTAGAGCACTTGCCTTGAGCTGAAGAGCTCAGGGACAGCGCCCAGGCCCAGAGTTCAAGCCCCACAACTGACCAAAAAAAAAAAAAGAAAGAAAAAAGATTAGAGCCACCCAAGTGACCTCATTTTACCTTAGTCACTTCTTTATGTCTTTTCTTTAAAAAAAATTTAGTTTTTGTTATAAAGGTGATGTACAGAGGGGTTAAAGTTACCTATGTCAGATAATGAGCACATTCCTTTTCTTTTTGGACAATGTCATCCCTTCATGATCTTTCTTTTATACGAATTACAAAACTAAGTCACACCTCGGGGCTGGCCAGGGGTTTCACCTGCTTGTCCTGGGGACAGGGAGGTCTCCCCGTCCGAGGCCCTGGCAGGGCAGGGGCCGTTGGCTGGACACACGGCGGGCAGGGGAGGTGAGGCGCTGGAAGCCTGTGTCATAGAGGTTAGTCCCTCACGGCACAGAGGCTGGAGGCCCGAGGCCCCAGGGTAGGAGGCCGGTGCTGGTTCTGGAGGCTGTTGGGGGCAATCTGTCCAGGGCCGGGTCAGCTAGCTCTACAGTTGCTGGTGATCCTTGTCCGGTAGAAACGCCGCCTGACCCCTGCCTGGTCTCCACGTGGCATTCTCCTGGTCTGGCTCATTTCCTCTTTCTGCAAGGACACCGTCACAGTGACCCGGGCCCCTCCTCCCCGCGGGCCCCTCATTGCCTGGCTTTCCTCAGAAGGCGTGCCGTGAGGATGGGGTCAACTCCAGCACGTGACAGAAGGGGTCAGCCTCTTCCCCCGCCTGGGCAGATGGGACGGGCACCCTCTCAAGGGCTGGGTGGGGTCTGGCCAGGGCGTGGGGCAGGCAAAGCCTTCCATCTCAGAGGGAGTCGGGAGCGGACCAGGCAGCCACGTCAGGGCTTCAGGTCCACGCTGCCGCTGCACGTGTGTGCACGTGCGTGTGTGCAGAGCCTGAGAGGCTTCGGGAAGCCGGCGGGAAGGCTTCCTGCTTGTGGTGCCCTCTCTAGGCCACACTCCCTGCCAGCGGGGAGCGGAGCTGATAACTAAACAGGTGGTAGGGTTTCAGGGATCCGTGGGGGTCCCCCTTGCCTCTGAGGGTCCTGTCCCTCAACCCCGTGGGGCAGAGCGCCTCGTCTCCCCTGAGCCCCGAGGGCCTCATTCTCAACACATCACGCAAGGGCGGCCAGAGAGGGACCTCACCCTCCAGCGCCTTGACAGGCCCAGGGAAAGTCTGGAGGGGACAGAGGCTGGGAAGCAGCCCGCCGACCAGCGGGAGGACCTGCCCGGAGGCCCCACAATGGGGAAGACATCACCAAAGCCATGGGGCTCAGCCACGTGCCATGCATGATCCCAACCAAAGAAGGGCTGGGGACCTGAGTGTGCCAGGCTCAAGACTCCCCAAGGGGCTGGCTGGAGGGGAAGCCACTGGGCTCCGGGGTGGGGTGCCAGGCCCTGGCCCTCAAGTGTCTCTGCTGGCGGCTTTGTTCCTCCTTTGCGGTGTGTGGGGGTGGGGAGGGGCACCCCATCTTCCTCCTGATCAGTGATGCTTTGTGGGCCCTTCTTCCCTCTCTGAATCCCCCGCCCCCCTCCCCTCCTGCCCCTCTTTGTCCTGGCACCTCTGCAAGGCAGCTGCTCAGTTAGGTTTCTGCAGCATGGAGACACCTCACTCCTCTGCCCGGCTGTCACCCTGGCTCTGCCCCTTCTGAGGACGGAGCAGCCTTCGCCTCTGCCCCCCAGCAGGGACGCTGACCCCTGCCCGGTCAATTCTAGAGCATGAGGCTGGGGGGGGCGGCTGGCAGACGCTGGGTGGGCTGGGGGGGGGCTGGCAGACGCTGGGTGGGCTGGGGGGGGCTGGCAGACGCTGGGTGGGCAGGACCGCGGGGGAGGGAGGGCAGTCGCCTTGCATCCTGATGCCAAAGGTGTGTCAGCTCAGACGGCAGGGGTGCAGGGGGCGGGGGGGTCACCAGCCCCAGGCCTGGAGGGCGGGCAGAGCGTGTGTCAGGGTGCTCGGGTCTCACACTCTCTGCACAGTCATTTAGGCCATGCCCTGCCCCCCTCACCCTCCACCCCGTGACAGGTGCCAGCTCCTCCGGCCCTGGGTTTGAATCCTACAAGCGCCGCTGCACACCAGGGCAAGCCAAAGAGAAAGCACTGTGCCCCCCCCCGTCCTGCAGGGCTGTGGGGGCTTCCTGAGCCCGCCACCCGGCTCCCGCGCTGTCACCTCCGAGCGCAGTTTACTCAACACTTCCTGGCGAGCGGTTGGGGTTTGGGTGACCCCCCCCCCGCCCCATCCTCTTCTCTTTTCTTGTAGCAACAGATTAAAAAACAACATCAACCCCAGGCCCTGATAGGTCCCAAACCTCAACCTGCCACTGAAAGGGGAAGTGAAACTGGTGGGGTGGGGGCTCGGCCAGCCCAGGGGGAAGTGCCCAGGGGCCGGCACCCAGGGTGCGTACACACACACACACACACACACACACACGCACACCCTGCCACACGCCTGCACTGCACCCACCGCACCCACATCAGGCCCATGGCGGAGGCTGCGGGAGACCTGGGATCTGAGGAGCGGGAGGAGCTGCTGCCCGAAGACTCCGCAGGGTGAGCATCCTTGGCTCCACCTCAGCAAAGCCCAGCCCAGGAGCCTGGTGGGCGCCATGTCTTGGACCAGAATAGTGGGAGCCTGGTGTTCTGGGCGGGGCAGGGTTCTGGGACCCCATGCCAGACCTGTCTGAGGGGCCGCAGGGGAAGGGCTGGCTCCCCAAAGCTTCCCTGTTGGGTGGGGTGCAGTGGAGACCCATCTGTCCTGTGGGCCAGGGGCCGTGGGCTGTGGCAGGATGGGGCGGGAGAGGGACAAGAAACAAGCAGCAAGGGCCACCTGTCCACCATGGCCAGTGCTCAGGGTGAAGCTGTGCTCCGAGGGGTCACAGGGGGCCTGCCCCGAGGGGGGCCTGGTTGGCGGGCGGCAGGGGTGGCCCTGCATGGCTGTTTCCTCAGTTCACTGCAGCCGAGTGAGGCCTGGTCCCCCATGAGCTTGTAGGATCCAAACCCAGGGCCGGGAGGGGCTGAGGGCTGTCCCGTGGAGGTGCTGGTGGGAGAGCATGGAGCCCCAATGAGCAGGCGGGTCTGGAGCGGCCCCTGCCCCCCTCCTGCAGCCGCCTCCCTCCCCACCCAGCGGCCCTGGTCCCTCTTGGAGGGGGGAGACTCATTGCAGGCGTCAGGGTCAGACCGGATCTCAGAACAAGGCCGTGCACGCTGGGGTACAGGCAGGGCCTCGCGGGGTGAGAGGGAGACTGGGGCACTCCCCGGCGAGGCTAGAAGGCAGCCCAGGCCCAGGACAGGGCTCTGCAGCCACAAGGTGCTGTAGGAAGAAAGCAAACCGGGGTGAGAAGTGGGCGAGAGGCCGCAAGGCCCAGAGACACTGCGGGAAAGGGGCCGCAGGGCTCCTGTGAACGGCTCCTGCCATGTCCCAGGCCCTGCGTCCTGGCGGGGTGGATGCCTGCCCCGGCTCCCGGGCAGGGGCAGGGGGCAGGGGGCAGGGGGCAGGGGGCAGGGGGCAGGGATGTCCGGCCAGGAAGATGCTTTCACAACGCTCGCACGGAGGCCTCTCTGTGAAGGGATGAGGGCACGGAGGAAAAACAGACACGCTGGGACTGGCCGGGGTCTGGGCCTTCAGGGCCATGCTGTTCTCCAAGGGGATCCTGGGCGTGGGGGGCACAGGACGTGTGCAAGGTCGAGGAGGGCCACGAGGAGCCCCGCCAGGCCTGTGCCAGGGGAGGACACAAGCTGCTGGTCCATGGAGAAGGACGGGCAGGCGACAGCTGCTCCCAGTGTCCTTGTGCCGGCATCGCCCCAGCCCTGCCCTGGGCACTCTCGCCCCCATGCCCTTAGAAGGGCACGGCGAGGCCTGACCGCTCCTCGGCCCTTCCTTGCCCCCCCCCCGCTCCCCCCAGCTGTCTCGGCAGAGGCTGCTGCGATCCGGCGGCACGGCTCACCCTCAGGCATCCTGGTGCAGTTCAGGGAGGGCGGGGCTGGGGGCACCTGTGCCCGTCCATCAGAAACGCCTGCTGGCAGTGCACTGGATACTCCTTGGGCCCCGGGAGGATTGAAGCCCCCCCCCCCCAGGACGTCCTGCTCACTGCGTCCCGAGGGAGCGCGTGGTGCTCACCTTTCAGAATGAAACCGAGACACAGGGCAGGGCTCCCCCTTTCCACGCCAACTCAGGGAACAGGGGACTGTCCACCCAGGGAGAAGTCCCTAATTCCCTGGGGGAAGTGCAGGGCCTGGGAAGCCCCCGGGGGTCCCCAGGAGGACAGCCCCGCCCGGGCAGAGACTTCCTATGCCACGTAGACCAGGACACTGGGGCGCTGTAGCGAGGATCTCAGAACACACAGGAGCCCCCGGCTCCCCGTCCCCCTCAGCCCTGCCCAGCCCGGGGCTCCTGGCTGCCAGCTGCAGAAGGTTCCCAGGGGAGGCGCTGTGTCCCTGCCCAGATGCTCAGCCGCACAGGCCCTTGCACAGGCCTCTGTCCTTTGGGGACAGAGCTAGCCCTGGCACAGGCTGGGCACGGCTTTGCCTGAGACTCTGAGTAAAGTCTACAGTGCAAACCCTGTCTGTGGACTCCCCCCCCCTTCCACGAGGGGCTGAGTCCTGGTGCCTGGGGGGGGGTTGCTGGGGAGGGAGGCCGGGCAGACTCTTGCACGCGCCGCGTGATCTAGCGCCACCCCAGCCAGGACCCCCGACCCCACGGCTCCAGGTGGCACTGGGAGGCTTTGGGGACAGGTGGCCCAGCTCGGTCAGTGCTGGCCAGGTGGCATGCTAAGCCTCCCTCTCCTCTGGCCCTGGCAGGCAGCCTCTGCCTCGGCTTCCCCAGAACTTGGCCTGGGGCCTCGTCTTTGTGGCACGCTTACTCTGGGGCGGCAGGCTGGAGAGGGCTCCGGCGGACTCCGGGGGCACACCCTGCACCCGCGGCCACTGCTTCCTGGGGCTGGCGAGGAGGCCTGCCCCACTGGGGCCTCAGTTTCCCCATCTCCACTCTCTGTGGGCTGGGCCCTTGCCGGCTTTCTAAGCTGGGGGCAGGGAGGGGAAACTCCAGGGAAGCCGGCCCAGAGCCCGCTGGTGTGCGGTGGATTTGCCTCCTTGCTCTGGAGAGGCAGAACAAGCCCCTGTGAGCTCGGGTGGCTGCCGGGACCTGGGGGCGGGGGGGGGCAGACTGTGCTGGGCTCTCTCATGAGTCCGTCCACAGTAACTCCCAGAGGACAGTCACCCTCTGTTCTTCGTGGGGTTTGGGGGGTACCCCTGGGAGCTGCTCAAGCACCCGGGGCTCCCAGCAGAAGGGGGGTGGCTCTGGCCTCCTGGCACTCCCTCTGTGAGGAAGTGGGCCTTGGGTTTCCAGCTGACCCGAGGTGGACAGAGTCAGGGCCTGTCTGGGGGGAACTGGACGGTGGTGGCCCCAGGAGCGTCCAGAGTCCTTTTGTCAGGATCAGGTTCTCTCCAGCCTGGGGGCACTCGAGGGGCGACGTTGGGTGTAGGCAGTCAGTGGACGGAGCCCTGGCCAGAGGAGGTAGGTGGGACACAAAACGCCTGGCCCTTTGGGGGCCAGTCCAGGCCTGCCTGAGCTCCATGGGCTGACCTCCTCCACACTGGGAAGTGGGCGAGCAGTCAGGGAGGGAGGACCGAGCCCCAGGGAAGGACAGGCAGGATGCCCGCCCCCAGGTCCTTCTTGAGACGGGATTGGCCGTTAGGTATGGAGACAGACATAGGTACACACATACACATGTATGTGCACACATACATACACACGTGGGCGCGTGCGCGCACACACACACACACACACACACAAGACAATTGACATTTCTGGAGACCCTGTCTGCCTGGGTAGGTTGAGTTCTCTCTCTCTGTCTCTGTCTCTGTCTTTCTCTCTCTCTCTCTCTGCTCTGCTCTGTTCTTTCCTTCCCTCTCCCTTTTCTTTCAGACTTAGTCAGTTATCCAGGGGATTTCACTTGAACATGTCACTTATGTAGATGCTACCTCAGAGCAGGGTGAGTTCCACACGCCTCTCCCCTGAGCCGGGAGAGTTTTATACTCTTCTCCCCCAGCGCGGCAGCGTTGCCAGGGGCCAGGGGTGAAGACTGGGCAATGGCGGCCCCTTCCTGGGCAGTGGGTCCGCTGATGCCACCCAGGGGGAGCAGAGCCTCCTCCCCGCTTATTGCTCCTTCCTGAAGGCAGACAGGACACCTCCCTTCCGGCCTGGTCGGCCTCTGTGCTCTGCTTCTCTCCCTGCTCTGGCATTCCTTCCTCCTCCTCCTCCACCGCCAGCTCCTCTTCCTCCTCCAGGCGCCAGTGGGACTTGAGACAGAGGGAGATAGCCAGTTCATTCAAGAAGAATCTGGGAAGAAGCCCTTGAATGCTGGCCCCAGCCACAACCCAAAACAGGGCTTCATCACGAACACCGCCGCCCTTGCCACAGCCTTGGTTCTGGCTCACTTGACCTTCGTAAGCATGTGGGACATTCGGAGTTCGCCCGCTCTGAATCAGACATGTCTCTGTCAGAAGCCACAGAGCCTCTCTGGCCTCCTCCACCCACCACCCCGCCCCACCCCACCCCCACCACTCACTGCGCCTTTCCCTAGATGCTGCTCTGTTCACAAGCTTGTAGAGAAAAACCATAAATAAATTCATGGATAGGCAAATTGGTGAATTGATAGATGGATAGGTGGCTGGCTGGCTGGCTGGCTGGCTGGATGGGTAGATGGATGGATGGGTATGTGGATGGATGGATGGGTAGATGGATGGATGGATGGATGGATAGGTGGGTGGATGGATGGATGAATGGATAGATAGGTAGATGAGTAGACATATCAATGGACAGATTGATGGATAGATGGATGGGTAGGTGGATGGATAGATGGATGGAAGAGATGGATGGGTAGATAGATATATACCAATGGATAGATGAAAAATAGATGGATAGTTGATTGGTTGGTTGGTACGTGAACAAATGGATAGATTGGGAAAAGTAGGTAAGGTACTTAAAATCTCCAACAACGATTCTGGTAAAGATATAAACATATCAGAATGAGTGATAGCTTTAGTCAGCTGAACACACAATTATCACATGTTCTGCTGTAATTATATTCATATATTCAACTGAATATACACAGTGTACCTGTGTAACCCAGCTGCTGATAAACTCAAATCGATGAATGAGCAGGAGCACCAAAATATGAATAGATTTATGTGTGGATGGATGGAGAATGAGTAGGTGTAGCAATGAATACATGAAATGGGTCAGTAGATGGTGAGTAGATGGGTAGAATATAGACAGATAAATGACGATAATTTAATAGAAGTCTATCAAGAATGAATACATAAAATAATGCACACACAAATCGACAGATATACAAATAGGCAAATATAACATTAGATAAATAGATGGGAAATGAATAGACAATGAATCTATTTGTGGATTAATTGTGCTGGATGAACTGTCAAAGAGATGGATAGCTTTCAATCAGAACTTTTCTATTTTGTTCCTGGAAATCCGGGCATTTTTCTCTGTCTCTGTCTCTCTGTCTTGCAAAATAAGCAATTGCTTATTG